GAGCGGTTTTCGAGCATTTTGGTAATGAAAAAAATTTGCAAATTTTTTCAAAAATTTTTTGCCTTAAAATGCTCAATATTTGTTAAATTTATATAAAATTTGTACCCGATAATATTTCTACTGCTCCAAAGAACCTATAACCCGAAAATGAAAGTTATATATGCCAACAATAAGTTGCTAGAGCACTTTAAAGGCTCAAAATTGACCCCAAAATAAGGCAATGTTTACCGTTGTTTTTACGACAGAAACCGAATTGGTTATTTACAAAAATGAATCTGTCGACAGGCTTGGAATTTTATCTTTGAAACGCCACACTTTTCTTTGAAATCGCTTTATTAGTTCTCGTGCAATAAGCGTTTTTGTGAAGCTCTAAAAATTACAACTACAACATTTGAACATATACTAGGTTCACATATAAGTAGATTATCCTCATTTTCGAGCTTAACACCCTAATCTGTAATTATAACAAGAGATTAGCCGTATAAAATTCGTCCCTTGTTAATCTGTAATTATAAAATAATCTCAGATTTAACCGATAACTTTTCGGTGTCCATCCTAGTTTTATCGATTGTTTTTGCGAAAGAGAGGAGAAATGCCAAATGTAAAAGTAAACAAAAATGTACGCTAGCAAGTAAAAGAGGTTTGTAAAGGTATTTTTAATAAAATGTTAAGTTAAAATATATTTATATTGCTTATTATAGCAGAAAAACGTGATCACGGTGGCACAGAGAAGAAACATAAATTTTCCTTGAGATGTGGGAATAACAAGCACAACAAATTTGACGGCTAATAATCTGAGATTTGCCTGTGTAAACGGGGTGATTAAAAAACTAGCTTTGATTGAGATAATATTGATATGTGAACATAGTTATAGCCCCCATACCTTAAGGTAAGACGTATTCTACGTCAAAATGCCCTATCTCGGCTGCCTTATCTCAGGACATCTGCAATACATTTTCATTTGAGATAGGGCGTTATTCAACCGGTGTTCTTGAAGAGGTTTCTGATATAGGATGTTTTCGAATTGGCTCTCGAGAAAGATCGGCCTTCGACTCAGGTATCAATATTTTTTACTTGCGCCAAATAATTTTGGTATAGATGAAATCAGTGTAAAAAGTGCTATCTATCTGTTTTTCCATAGCTAAACGGTTAGTGTACTCGATGTGAAAATTATGTAATCAAGATGCAGTCGTTATTGAAAACAACGCAACAACACGAAAGTCTCTCTTGTCAAAACTCAGCCGTTAAATGGAACGAAAAATTTATTTTCCTCTTTAAAGAAAAATTAAATACAAGGCAAATTTAAATAGCCTGAGTGCATTGGAAAAATAAATAAACTCTTGATAATGACATAAATCAAGCAACGTGGTGTCCCCACAGGCACACGTTTTTATCTTGACAATGTTATCAGACAATATTTTGCCAATGGAGGGCGCATATTGCTCATGACGAGCAATACATACAATCTTATCTTGGTTTCTCGTTCGGACATTAATACTTCAAACATAATTGTAATTAGTAATCAACTCCTTCGGTCCACAGCAATGGAATTGATCACCTTTTTAATTCCTTATAAGTAGTTTCAAAAGTATTTTCTTGATTTTGAATTCCATTACAAGGAATTGCATATTGTATTTGGAATTAAATACATGGAAGTGATGTTTTTAACACTTCGAAAATTCGTTATATGACTTTGGTGGTACTTTGCGAGCCTCCTTGATATATTTTTTAGGCGTTAGGAGTGAACGTCAAAATGAAAGCTGAAATAAGTAAAAAAGTTAAAGTTCGGGCGGAGCCGAATATTAAATACCAGCCACAAGTATGAAATATAGTTGGTTCCCTTTTCCGAAAACTACCGCTGCAAGGTAAGCAGGGGTGAATTTACCCTTATTTCAAACATCTTCGATAGAACGTTCAGTTAGACATAATGTTATACATTTATATAGTTATGTATGTATATCACGTCTATTTTCCCAAATCCCATAATAATGTTATTTGTTTTTAAGGAATTGTTGTTATTATCAATTTTGAGTCCTTAAATTTCGAAATATCGTTGTTTGAAGCCCACTTTCCAAAATTTTATCATAAACGTTTTTTTGCTAAAGAATTATTGCAAACACCAATTTTAAATAAACTAGCTTCAGTACTTCCTGATTTATTGAATATTTCGTATTTCTTTAAATTACCGTTATAGGGGATGTGAGCATGATTAGTGTACGATTTTAAAAATTTTCAGCTATTTGGTATGTTTGTCACGTGCCAAGTTTCGGAAAAATTGGTGGGGCGGTTACCAAGATATACAAATGCAGTCGTAAGTGGGCGTGGCTACGCACATTTTCCAAAAATTTAAACTGTAAATATGAATTTTGAGTGAATAAGCAAGTTTCAACATGACGAACAGAAAATCAAAAAATGTTGCCTTTTGTAGAAATTTCCCACAATCGACTTGTCAAACCTCCACAGAGCCCTCTTAATGTTACAACAGGTTTGCGCTAAAAACATGAACGAACGACACAAGATCACCCAAGAACAAGAGTGAAAAAAGCAGGTTCTACGCCAACTTGTTTCGCTCGTAAACGAAAGAAAAGTAAATAAAGCCAAAAAACAGCGAAAACCAAAAGTGACCAAAAATTATTGACAGCCAATTTTATAACACAATTTAGGTAAAATTACCCATTAAGATGCTTTAAAACGTGTTGTCATGTGGAATTATTTTTTCTTTAGTTAAAGAAATGTGTAAAATAGTGGTGCTTGTGATGTGAATAAATGCTCAGCTGACGAGCCCGCTTTCGCAAACTTTTTTCTAAAAACCAGTTTTAAATGTTGTTGATTCCTGCGCTAAAGAGAAATTTTGTCTTCTTTGATAAACCGCTTGTGCATTTGACTCTTAAGATATTTGAATTTATTTAGAATACGGCAACTCTACGTAGCGAATGAAGTGATATACCGGATGTGCCATTCGGTACTAGTTTGTCACTCGCTCATTACTCGTTCCATTACATCGAGTTATGAAAAGAATTTTTAAACGTACTTGGGGACGGTCGTGACATTTTGTATATTTTAACTTCTTTTGAAAAACGTAAAAATTTGAAAATTCGCTTTAAAGTGATAACGTAGTAAACGAGCATTGTTTTTTGATTACAAATCACTATTAAAGTAAGGAGTTGAAACATAGGAACTTCTACATTTTTGGTGCTAATTATCTTCATTTTATTTCTCGGTGATTCTCCTTTGTCATCGCTCTTCGTCGCCTCCATCGTTGGTTCGTCGTCTTCACGTCGACGACAACTCGTGTGCCCGAACCATTCCAACGTGCCTTTGTTTTGGGGACGTGCGTGCGTGTATGTGCATCTTTGTGAATTTCGTCGTTTGCTAAAAACTCGCCGAATATCTGCAAATTCGTTAATCGCTACTCGCTGAATGTCTGACGATTGCTGTCTACATTTTCATTTATTACCTATGTGGTACTGAAAAAT